CATTTTGATGATATTTTAATTGATTATGCTTAGGAAAGAGAAAGTTTATGCTCATTTTAATAAGTGTAGTTTTTGCATGGAAAAAGTTAATTTTCTTGGCTTCATAGTTCCTAAAAATGGAGTAGAAGTAATTTCTTGCTCTAAAGCAGAAGGAATCCTTAATTTGAAGGAAAAGAGATTGTAGATAGGATTTTGAAACTTACCCCTAATTTGAGCCCAAAATAGATTTTCTTGAATTTGGCTTGTTCTTGAGGTTATTTCTCTTCGTTGTCTTCTATGGAAACATTCTTTGGAGGTGCAATTGGGATCGTCCTTGCTTGACGTATTCTCGTGTATCGACGAATTGGATTGGGGGAATGATTTCTTGGCACTTTCAGCATTGTAAGAACAAGTTTGAAGAGAAATGGTGTAGAATTGCTCTTGAATTTTGAAGAAATCTCAGAGAAGGAGACCCAAAATCTAAAAGCTTATTGCCTACTATTGGGAGCTCGATTGTTGTTCCAAACTATTGCCTAAACTTTCAACTTTACAGGGCAAGCTTAAACATACATTGAGAGCTTCAGAACCACCATGATTTTGAGATTGAAATTTCTGGATAATGCGTAAAAAATATCTACACGGGTTAGAGGACACATATTTTTATCCCTTTTTATTCAGGGTTCTTATAACCAACTACTCTATTTTTCTATTAAACAATATCGTCACAGCATACATGACATTACTGCTATGCATGAAAGAATTCATTTACAACATTTCATAAACAATGCTATGGACTTAAATGTTCATAATGAACTCATTAAAACAATATTGTTATGAACAACACAGTGGAAAACAGATAACATTAGTTTAAATAAAAATAAAGCAATGCCCTGATCTAACCTAAGGATCACTAAAAATAACATGAATGCAACTACCCTAACTTTGGTTTCTTGGCCTTGAACGCAACGTTGTCATCCGTAAATGGGTATCTTACCTTTACTTTAAAATGAGAGTAGCATGTGGTTTGAGTACTTTAATAAATACTCAGTAAGTAATCCCACTATTAGGGTCGGAATATGAATGACGTGTAATATAGTGGGACCTATCCTTTCATAAATACATTGTGGCATGGGCTTGGGCTTTGCTTTTCAGTCCGAGCAGAGTTGAATATGTTGTACTTCCCTACACACGACTCATGAATGTGCACATTGACCACCAGGTGGGTTGGTATAAGAGTACTCTATGAGTTTGCCTCGTCGAGCTTGTGCACACTCACACTACCAAATACCATGAAGGGAAACGACCAGCATAATATCATACGGAACATAAATATTTTAAGGTATGTGTTTATACTAATCATAATGGGGAAGTATCTCAATGCACCTCCCATATAAAATGCATGAGATCCCTAACATTGAAACACGACATAACGTTCCTATGAGACATACATACTTGATTCTTGTCATATTGTTCATGATTAACAATACATGGTTTTTCTAATGTTTCATAGGCATAGGGTGTACTAAACATAATATAGAAGTATCTCGATGCACGTGGTATACAAAATGCATGAGGTCCCATAACATCAAAGCATGACATATATTCATGGCGCTAATCATACCTCAAATCTATTCCTAGCATAGTGTTCCTATGAGATATAAATACTTGATTCATTTCATATTTTTAATAATTAACAATACATGATTTTCTAATGTCTCATAGTCCTAGAATAGTGTATATGATATCATAGCGTAACTTGTATGCAACATATCATATATCATATCATATACATAACATAGTATATGTCATACAATCATAGAACACGACATGTGCAGGGGCCACAGGTAGCGATGTCCATTCCCCGTCATCATCCCCACCATCTATTTCATTCTCCATTTCCATGAAATTCTCTATTTATTTTTGTGCGGATCAAGGTAAGGGATTCATGGCAAGGAAGTGGCAGGGATCGGATTCCCCATGGAGAATTTTAGTGGGATTTAAATCCAAGAGTCACCCAGAGTTTTAAGATGAAAGGCCAAGAATCTTTATAGGAATAATGACTTTTTAAGGGTTAGGAACAGTGGCATTGTTATGTCTCTGTTTAGTTTTAGAAAACCTTATAAATACATTTGTTATTACTATCGTAAAATGGTAAAGTAGAGCAAAGTAAAAAAAGAAAAAAAACAGAGAAGAAATAGAAGGTTTTTTCAGAGTGTTCTTTGTCTCCTTCTATCGTTAGTGTGTGGGACTTATTTCACAAATTTATGAGTTTTCGTTAACAAAATTATATCAAGCCAATGGCGAATGTGTGTCAAATTCTGCTACCGCGACTAGTGAAGACAAACTACGGGAATTGGAGCATTCATATGAAAGCTTTTCCCGGTTCTCAAGATGCATGGGAGGTGGTCGAAGAAGGGTTAGAAGAACCAAAAGATACCACGGGTTATACAGCGGCACAAAACAAGACGTTAAAAGAGGTGTGATCAAAGGATAAGGCGATACTATACATGTTGTTCCGAGCCGTTGACGAGTCGGGCTTTGTGAAGCTTGCCAATGCAACTACTTCAAAAGAAGCGTCAGAAACTTTAGGAAAAGTGTTCAAAGAAATCGATCGAGTCAAGCAAGTGCGTCTCCAAACTCTTCGTGGCAAGTTGGAGAGCATGAAGATGAAGGAGTCAGAAAGTGTATCTGACTACATCACGCATGTACAAACTCTAGTTAACCAACTCAATCGAAATGGAGAAATGTTAGCCGAGACACGGGTTTTGGAGAAGATTTTAAGGTCATAACCAACAACTTTAGAATGTTGTATGCGCGATAGAAGAGTTAAAGGACCTAGCAACGTTCACAGTCGACGAGCTAGCAAGTTTTCTCGAGGAAGACGAGCAACGTAAGAAGAAGAAGAAGGAAACACTTGATCAATCACTTCAAACCAAGGCGTCAATCAAAGATTAAAAGGTACTCTACTCTTAAAATTTTGAAGGCAGAGGTTTTGATAGTGAAAGTAGTAAAAATGGTCACTGTGCTCAAGGAAGTAGTCATGAAGGATAATATAAGAAGAAGGGACAGCCGAGCCAAGCAAATTGGCATGGAAGAGGACGCAATGGAGGAAGAGGCAGTCGATCAATTTACTCCAACATTCAGTGCTACAAATGTCATAAATATGCACTATGCAAATTATTATAACTCCGACAAATGTTACAATTGTGGTAGAACATTCAGTGCTACAAATATCATAAATATGCACTATGCAAATTATTATAACTCCGACAAATGTTACAATTGTGGTAGAGGGCCATTTTGTAAAAGATTGTCGAGCCGATAAAATGGTGGAAGAAACAATCAACCTAGCCTTGGTGACGCAACAAACCAAGGTCTTAGGTCTTCTCTTGATGGCTAAAAATGAAGATCTGAAAGCGTAAGAACACGACGGAGAAAAAGACGATGGCGGTAGTTGTGAGGCGGTGAAAACCGTTGGAAACGAGGGGATACACAGGGGATTCGGCAAAATCGCCATATTGGAGATGAGAAAATCGAAGAAGGAATCTGGATTGAACACGCAATTGACGAACGAGCCAAAGAAACTACCAGATCATCAGAAGGAGAATAGAGATCTAGAGCAACAACCAAAATCTACAGTGGATAAATCTATGGAGAAGTCTTAGTTGTAGACATTGAAATCTCTGAACGAGCGCATTTTGAAGGAGAAAGTAGAGATTGAAAAAGAAAAGAAAGCTTTTAGAATTGGAGATTGAAAGCTTAGAGAAGAATGGGCTGAGCTGAGTGGGAGTTCTTTCTATCTCACACCGGAGAAGAAAGAGAATGGAAAAGTAATTTCTAAGCTTGTGAAAAGAATTGAAGAAGTATGGAGAAAGAGAGGAATGTTAATGATAAGTCGTGGGTTCAAAACCAAGGTGCGTGCTGGAAAGTGAAATTCTTTACATTGAAGCGTGGCACCATACGGATCGAGTTAAACATCCTTCTAGTCAAACTTGGTTAGACGTGGGCGTGGGTCGGAAGAGCTATCGCGTGTCGAATATCAAGTGGAGCCGAGTCACTTTACAACAAGCCTGACGCGTTATTCCACCTAATCGTCAATACGTGTCCCTCAGGCTTTCTGACACGCTTTCCCTCCCGCAAGTTGAAACGTGGCCGCTTTCCCTCCCGCAAGTTGACACGTGGCCGCTTTCCCTCCCGCAAGTTGACACGTGGCTTGCTGGCTATCTGACGCGCTTTCCATCCCACAAGTTAACACGTGGAAAATTTTCTCTCTTGACAATGCGTCTGATGCGTTATTCCACCCAATCGTCAATACGTGTCTCTCAAGCTTTCTGACACGCTTTCCCTCCCGCAAGTTGACACGTGGCTTGTCGGCTGTCTGACGCGCTTTCCTTCCCACAAGTTGACACATGGCTTGTCGAAAAATTTTCTCTCATGAGAGTTGCAATACTGAATCTGGCCTTCAAAGTGAAATCATTAACCTCCTTGTTCGTGAAACAACTATAAGAAATCCAAGAATTTCATCTTTCTTAAAAGAACATATGGAACCGCCAAAATAAGTTCATTTACCTCCTTATTGTTTCTGAAAGAACTTTCAGAAATCCTCGAATTTCATCCTTCATTGAAAGAACATATCGAACGACTCAGATCTAAAGAAAAATTGTGAACGGCCGTATCATCGGTTTAAAGTTCGTACTGTTGTAACCCGGTATCATGTAAAGATATTATTAAGAATTAATAAAACTTGGCCTATGTAATTGTCGAACCTACGACCTCCACGTGTCCAAGGCCTTTTGTTCTTTTTTGCATCTGTTATTTTGGCTTTTTAACACGACAATCTTACAACTGAGCTTATTGGGCATAGATTTTATGCACATTATAGATCGTTAGCTCATAATCCAACCAATCGAGTTTCGTTTACATAACTTTATGCATAATAAACTTAAAAAAGTCATTATCTTCTAAAGTTCGTAGTGTTTTAACTCGTATCATGAAAAGATATAATTAAAAATGAGGGAAATTGGCACATGCAGGTGTCGAACATGCAACCTTCGAGTTATTAGCACGATGCTCTAACCAACTAAGCTAATAGGCCATAAATTTTCTTGCTTGACATTGCGCTTGACGTGTTATTCCACCCAATCGTCAATACGTGTCCCTCAAGCCGTCTGACACGCTTTCCGTCCCGCAAGTTGACACATGGCTTGCCGACTGTATCACGCGTTTTCCTTCCCACAAGTTGACACATGGCTTGCCGAAAAATTTTCTATCATGAGAGTCACAAACTGAATCTGAGAAATCCTCGAATTTCATCCTTCATAGAAGTACATATCGAACAACTCAGATCTAAAGAAAAATTGGCAACAGCCGTATCATCTATTTAAATTCGTACTGTTATAACCCCGTATCATGAAAAGATATTATGAATAATTAATAAAACTTTGCCTATGTAATTGTCGAACCTACGACCTTTACGTTTTTAACACTACAATCTTAAAACTGAGTTAAATGGTTATAGATTTTATGCACATTATAGATCGTTAGCTCCTAATCCAGCCAATCGAGTTTTGTTTACATAACTTTTTGCATAATAAACTTAAAAAAAATCGAGTTTTATTTACATATCTTTTTGCATAATAAACTTAAAAAAGTCATTATCTTCTAAACTTCGTAGTGTTTTAACTCATATCATGAAAATGATATGATTAAAAATGAGGGTAATTGGCCCCATGTAGGTATCGAACTTGCAACCTTTGCATTATTAGTATGACGCTCTAACCAATTGAGCTAATAGGCCAAAGGTTTTCTCACCTCACAATGCGCCGACGCGTTATTCAAGCCAATCTAGACAAGTGGTCCGGCTGTCTCACGCTTTCCTTCCCACAAGTTGACACGTGGCTTGCCGAAAAGTTTTCTCTCATGAGAGTCGAAATACTGAATATGGCCTTCAAAGTGAGTTCATTTACCCCCTTGTTCGTAAAAAGACTCTGAGAAATCCTCGAATATCGAACGACTCAGATCTAAAGAAAAATTGTGAACGGTCGTATCATCGGTTTAAAGTTCGTAGTGTTGTAACCCCGTATCATGTTAACATATTATTAAGAATTAATAAAACTTGGCCTATGTAATTGTCGAACCTACGACCTCCATGTTTTTAACACGACAATCTTACAACTGAGCTAATTGGGCAAAAATTTTATGCACATTATAGATCGTTAGCTCCTAATCCAGCCAATCGAGTTTCGTTTACATAATTTTATGCATAAAAAACTTAAAAAAGTCATTATCTTCTAAAAACAAATCGTAGTGTTTTAACTCGTATAATGAAAAGATATAATTAAAAATGAGGGAAATTGGCCTATGTAGGTCTCAAACCTTCGACCTTCGCGTTATTAGCACGACGCTCTAACCAACTGAGCTAATAGGCCATAGATTTTTTCGCCTGACAATGCACTTGATGTGTTATTCTACCCTATTGTTAATACATGTCCCTCGGGCTGTCTGACACGCTTTCCCTCTCGCAAGTTGACACTTGGCTTGCCGGCTTTCTCATGCGCTTTCCTTCCCACAAGTTGACACGTGGCTTGCCGAAAAATTTTCTCTCATGAGAGTCGCAATACTGAATTTAGCCTTCAAAGTGAGTTCATTTACCTCCTTGTTCATGAAAAGACTCTGAGAAATACTCGAATTTCATCTTTTGTAAAAGAACATATCGAACGGCCAAAATAAGTTCATTTACCTTCTTCTTGTTCCTGAAATGACTCTCAGAAATCCTCGAATTTCATCCTTCATGTATGAACATATCGAACAACACAGATCTAAAGAAAATTTTGAACGGTCGTATCATCGGTTTAAAGTTCGTACTCTTGTAACCCCGTATCATGAAAAGATATTATGAAGAATTAAAAAAAACATGGTCTACGAAATTGTCGAACCTACGACCTCCACGTTTTTAAAACAACAATCTTACAACTGAGCTAATTGGCCATTGGTTTTATGCACCTTATAGGTCGTTAGCTCTTAATACTACCAATCGAGTTTCGTTTACATAACTTTATGCATAATAAACATAAAAAAGTCATTATCTTCTAAAGTTCGTAGTGTTTTAACTCGTATCATGAAAAGATATAATTAAAAATGAGGGAAATTGGCCCATGCAGTTGTCGTACCTGCAACCTTCACATTATTAGCACAAAGCTCTAACCAACTAAGCTAACAAGCCATAGATTTTCTCACCTCACAATGCGCCTGATGCGTTATTCCACCCAATCGTCAATACGTGTCCCTCAGGCTGTCTGACACGCTTTCCCTCCCGCAAGTTGACACGTGGCTTGCCGGCTGTCTCACGCGCTTTCCTTCCCCACAAGTTGACACGTGGCTTGACGAAAATTTTCTCTCATGAGAGTCGAAATACTGAATCTGGCCTTCAAAGTGAGTTCATTTACCTCCTTGTTCGTGAAAAGACTCTAAAAAATCCTCAAATTTCATCTTTCATAAAAGAGTGTCCCTCAGGCTGTCTGACACGCTTTCCCTCCCGCAAGTTGACACGTGGCTTGCCGGCTGTCTCACGCGCTTTCCTTCGCCACAAGTTGACACGTGGCTTGACGAAAAATTTTCTCTCATGAGAGTCGAAATACTGAATCTGGCCTTCAAAGTGAGTTCATTTACCTCCTTGTTCGTGAAAAGACTCTAAAAAATCCTCAAATTTCATCTTTCATAAAAGAACATATCGAACGGCCAAAACTAGTTCATTTACCAACTTCTTGTTCCTGAAATGACTCTCATGACTCTCATAAATCCTCTAAAGAAAAACTGTGAACGGCCGTATCATCAGTTTAAAGTTCGTAGTGTTGTAACCCCATATCATGTAAATATATTATTAAGAATTAATAAAACTAGGCCTATGTAATTGTCGAACCTATGACCTCCACGTTTTTAACACGATAATCTTACAACTGAGCTAATTGGGCAAAGATTTTATGCACATTATAGATCGTTAGCTCCTAATCCAGCCAATCGAGTTTCGTTTACGTAACTTTATGCATAATAAACTTAAAAAAAGTCATTATCTTCTAAAAATCGAAGTGTTTTAACTCGTATAATGAAAAGATATAATTAAAAATGAGGGAAATTGGCCCATGCAGGTCTCGAACCTACGACCTTCGCGTTATTAGCACGACGCTCTAACCAACTAAGCTAATAGGCCATAGATTTTCTCGCCTGACAATGCACTTGACGTGTTATTCTACCCTATCGTTAAGACGTGTCCCTCAGGCTTTCCCTCCGGCAAGTTGACACTTGGCTTGCCGGCTTTCTCACGCGCTTTCCTTCCCACAAGTTGACACGTGGCTTGCCGAAAATTTCTCTCATGAGAGTCGCAATACTGAATTTAGCCTTCAAAGTGAGTTCATTTACCTCCTTGTTCGTGAAAAGACTCTAAGAAATACTCGAATTTCATCTTTCGTAAAAGAACATATCGAACGGTCAAAATAAGTTCATTTACCTCCTTCTTGTACCTGAAATGACTCTCAGAAATCCTCGAATTTCATCCTTCATGTAAGAACATATCGAACGACTCAGATCTAAAGAAAATTTTGAACGGCCGTATCATCGGTTTAAAGTTCGTATTGTTGTAACCCCGTATCATGAAAAGATATTATGAAGAATTAAAAAAACTTGGCCTATGAAATTGTCTAACCTACGACCTCCACGTTTTTAAAACAATAATCTTACAACTGAGCTAATTGGGCATAGGTTTTATGCACCTTATAGGTCTTTAGCTCCTAATACTGCCAATCGAGTTTTGTTTACATAACTTTATGCATAATAAACTTAAAAAAGTCATTATCTTCTAAAGTTCGTAGTGTTTTAACTCGTATCTTGAAAAGATATAATTAAAAATGAATGAAATTGGTCCATTCAAGTGTCAAACCACCTGGGACGTCCACGTTATTTGCACAATGCTCTAACCAACTAAGCTAATAGGCCATTGACTTTCTTGCCTAACAATGCGCCTGACGCGTTATTCCACCCAATCGTCAATACGTGTCCCTCAGGCTGTCTGACACGCTTTCCCTCCCGCAAGTTGACACGTGGCTTGCCGGCTTTCTCACGCGTTTTCCTTCCCACAAGTTGACACGTGGCTTGCCGAAAAATTTTCTCTCATGAGAGTCGCAATACTGAATCTGGCCTTCAAAGTGAGTTCATTTACCTCCTTGTTCGTGAAATGAGAAATACTCGAATTTCATCTTTCGTAAAAGAACATATCGAACAGCCAAAATATGTTCATTTACCTCCTTCTTGTTCCTGAAATGACTCTCAGAAATCCTCGAATTTCATCCTTCATTGAAGAAAATATCGAACGACTCAAATCTAAAGAAAAATTGTGAACGACCGTATCATCGGTTTAAAGTTCATACTGTTGTAACCCCGTATCATGTAAAGATATTATTAAGAATTAATAAAACTTGGCCTATGTAATTTTCGAACCTACGACCTCCACGTTTTTAACACGACAATCTTGTTATGCCTATGTAATTCAAAACTAAGGTTGAATTGTATGAATAACTTGTTATGTCTTTTGAAAAAGAGCTCAATTCTTGTTCCAAACTGTTACCTAAACTTTCAACTTTATAGGGGAAGCTTAAACTGGCATTGAGAGCTTCAGAATCACTATGATTTTGAGATTGTACTTTCTGGATAATCTGTAAAAAAATATCTACACTTGTCAGAGGACACATATTTTTATCCCTTTTTATTCATGGTTCTTATAATCAACTACTCTATTTTCCTATTAAAAAATATAGTCACGGCATACATGACATTACTACTATGCATGAAAGAATGTATTTATAACATTTCATAAATGGTGCTATGGACTTAAATGTTCATAATGAACTCATTAAAACAATATTCTTATGAACAACATAGTGGAAAACAGATAACTTTAGTTTAAATAAAAATAAAGCAATGCCCTGATCTAACCTAAGGATCACTAAAAATAACATGAATGCAACTACCCTAACTTTGGTTTCTTGGCCTTGAACGCAACGTTGTCATCCGTAAATGGGTATCTTACCTTTACTTTAAAATAAG